ATATAGGTCTAAGACACAGAGTTGAATATTTTACAAAGCAACAATAACAAAAACAGTGATAAGGTACAGAAAGGAACACAGAACCTTATGGAAAAAATCCAGAACTATAGATAACCCTCCAATTTTCATAACTGGAACAGAAGATTACTTTGATCAAATTTGTTAGGAGAGCTGAGTAGTTACCATATATTAGCTCCATATCCCAAATGTGTAAAATATTTCACAAATGTTGTTAGTTGCAATCAAGTTGATTCCAACTCACGGTAACTGTGTGTTTCCAAAAATGAAGACTACAAAAGATGAATTAGTAGAGAAAAAAAATAGTGAACATGTGTGTGTAATTACAATTACATTTGAGCGAGATTTCTGCGCTTTGAAATAACAAGGGAGAAAAAAGGGAAAAAATGGAAATGTTTAAAATCTAAACATTGTAAATGCTAATATGAAAATGAGCTAAGTTTGAATAACATAATAGGGGGGAAAGCTATTTGAACAAAATAATATTAAAAGATAAAATGAGAATTCACCTCATTACATTTAAAAAAAAAAAAACCCAACACAAAGACCAAACTCACTGCCATCAATTGAGTGGACTGCAGCTCATGGTGACCCCACAGGAAAGAGTAGAACGCCCCCTGTACGTTTTTGAAGCTGTAACTCTTTACGGGAGTAGAAAGCCCCAGAGGAGTAGCTGGTGGTTTCAAACTGCTGACCTTGTGGCTAGCAGCCCAACAAGTAACCACTAGGCTACTAGGGCTCCTGACCACCTCATTGGACTGTCGTAAAAGCTCCTTTGTAAAGAAAGCATCTGACAGAAATTCATCTTACTATTTACAACTTTCTTTGCTGGTCCAAGAGCCCTGTTTATCAGTGACTTTCCTAAAAGCAGGGGTTATGTCTTGTTGATCTCTAGCATAATGTATATCACACATGTGCCTTAAGATGAATGAAAAAGGAAAATATTAGGGAAGCAGTTGAGTGATTTAGACTGTATTGCTTAGGTGAAACAGTAGGCAACTATTATAAATAATGATGGAGACCATGTAGACATATTGCGAGACACTGGAACAATACCCATAAAAATACGGTGACAGAGAATAGCCAGTAGAAACCATGACTGCAAGTATGTGAAAACATACAAGGTTTATCACAGAAATATTCTCCGTATTAATATGAGTATTTTAAAAAAATGTTACTTAATGTTTCGGTTAAAAACTATCCTCAATATGAATACAAGGGCGGGCACGGTGGCTGACTGTCTCCTTTATTCCTTTTGTCTTGATTTTGTCGGCATATTTATTGTTTGAGGATTGAAGGCACAGTCCGGTGCTGTATGAAATAAATACATATCGAGTTGGCTGGACACATTGACCCACCTTTGCAGACCTCTCCCGACCCTCACGTCTTCCTCTGAAAAACGCCGTCTGCTCACTTGTTCTAGGAGGTTGGTTCCCCTTTCGTCCTTATTCCTCCCCGGCACTTTTTTATTAGTACCGCGGTCCTTCCTCGGTCCTGTTTTTATTTTGAGGGGTCAACTGTTTACTTATTAGGCTTTCCTCTTCATTTTACGGCTTCTCTCCTTCTGTTTCTGAATCATATGCTCAGCCTTCCCCATAGCGTTCCTCAAAAAGCATTGTGTTTGCTCCTTTGAGAGTCCCTGCTTTTCTTCATTTTCAAAAAGATAAATAAAATAACAGTACACTGATGTCCTGATAGGGCTCGAAGCCAGCCCTATTGATTTTAGTGGACTTGAGTGTTCACTTACGTCTTACCACAGTTCATTGCCTAGCAACATGGGCACCCAGAGCTTCAGGGTACTATAGTGATAGCTCCTGATGCAAGTGCGCTCTCTCACTCTCTCTCTCTCCGAGAAATGCTCAAGAGCGGCGACCACTTTAAAACTAGGGCTCCCAGGGTTTTATCCCCCATTTTATTCCCTTCCAATTTGTAAAGAAAGAAAGGATAAAAACAAGAAGAGACACTTACTGCAAAGGGCTAGACAATCAATTGCAATTTCTTTTAGAGCATCCAGAAGAACGGACTTTTCGAGGCTCTGTGTTTATGCCTCGAAGCCACTCCTTTCCTCTTTCCCTGGCAGGGCGTCTGGGCAGCCAACAATAAGGGCAGGCTAGGCATGGGCTGACCCAGGCTCTAGAGGTAGACTGAGTGTGCACGCGCCTCCAATGGACCGTGTGTACAAGCTTCACTCGAAAGCCACGTACGATGAAATACAGATGCTCAGCAATTTGCTATCTGCGATACATTTCACGCCATCACCTGCACTGATAACGGAGTGAGCTGCATTCCATTCCAGGGCAACAATCGGGTGACTCAGAGTCACGAGGCCACTGGGAGGGAACGTCTGGAGCACAAGAAATGATGACTGCCCTTTCCGTAATTCCCTCCGACCACGGGGACCCCTGTTGTGAAAGCCAATCAAGTTCATCGCTGTGATTTCAGCTAATGCATGCTGTCAGCATAGTGCCTTTGCCTTTCAGCAGGGAGAATCTTTCAATCCTTTCGACTACAGTACCAACACAGAAGGGAAACAAAGCGAGCGAGGACTCACCTCTCTCACTCAGCAAAAGGAACAAAGACAGTGAGTGTGGCTTCTGAAAGGAGGGTACGTTAGGTGGTCAGGGGAATCTTTGCTGACCCTCTTTTAGGGGTCAAGAAGTTCTGCTCCAACTAAAGGAGAGCCTTCCCACCAACACCCTGGTCTAGGTGTAATGTGAAAAGCGAACCCCTGCACCTCTTTGAATAGGGAGACCATAATTACCGTTTTCTCTGATACCTCCTTCACGTACGAAAGCACAACCAACTGATCACAGAGAGGTGCCAGTCCGCTGATGTAGAATTCCATTTCGAACTGAGACACTGCAAGCAAAAGGGACATTGGATTCACCATTAACAGGAGCAAGCCGCAGCACTCAATGGGAGGGAGGCATCCCCCTGATGTGAATTTTGGATAGACCCATTTCGAAAACTAAGATAAAGGGAACATTCATTGGTCAACATACTTAACAGAACTTGGCACTGAGAGTGCTCGACAATAAGCGGAATAAGGGATATTTGGGGATTTACACTTGGGATAGTGCATCACAACCAACCAGTAAACAGGAAAGGCCAGCAGCACAAAAGGTCAGTGGTGACAGTGGACACCTGGCACTAGGATGGAGGCACCACAGAACCACACCCTGCAAGCTGCAGGCTGTGATGAAAACTCTTGTTCAAAGTTCACAACAGCAACAATCAAAAATGCCAGAGTGTAAGATTGTTAGGGCATTAAAGTAAGTACAAAGGCCCAAAGGAATGCTATTTATAAAGAGGAAACTCGATATTTGGGGGGGTATTAAATACTTTATGAGGATTTTAAGTCCAAAAAAAGTATGCAAATTCAAATTACCTTATGATAAAATGTCCGTATTTCTTAAGTGAACTAAAATTTATTTTGACAATCCCATTTACGCTTAACATTTTAGAGCTCTTTAAATTTTGGAAGAAACCTGGTATCACCTCAGAAAGGTATGGACTTAATTACAATAGATACCCAAAGATCCGGTAGAAAGTTCAGTGGCAGAAGCATAAACGTATTACTATGGTATTATGCTAATGTTGAGCCATTATTAACCAAATAGTTATTGTACTATATGATTACGCTTTGGGGTGCTTTGTTATTGAGCAAAACTGATGGATGTGTATTAGCACTAGAAGAGACTTCTGGGAAATACAGGCTGCACTTATCGATTCACTTGGGAGTCTCTTAATTCAGATCTCTCTGCAGTATTAGCCTCAGATTTAGTGGGCCTTCATGATGACAGCACCCTCTAGGGGACACTCGGGGGATCATTGTATATTGCGAATAACAGGACATTTTGGTTCTACCTTCTAGTTAAGTGTGTGAACTGGGATAAGCCATTTAACCTCTATGGGGATGGTAACTTCCTTTCCCCCTTTTTAAAATAAAGAAACTAGAGTGGAAAGAACATCCATAATATAGATGAAATGAAGAGCTACAAGGTATTTCTTCTTGACACTCTCCCTTCTCCTTTCAGACTAAGCAGAGTTACTGTCTTTATCTATCTTTTAGGTTTGCTTCTTTTTGTTTCCAACAGTTTTCACATATCATACAATTCAATAGTTCATTCACATCAAGAAGAGTTGTATAATCATCACCACAATCAGTTTTGGAACATTTTCTTCATTCTTCCATTCATTGTTATTAGCTCCCCATTTCCCCCCAACCTCCCCTGCCATACCCACAAGGAACCATTCATCCAGTTATTGTCTCTACAGATTTGCCTATCCTGAATTTCATATACAGAAAAACATTAAACCAAACAAACAACTAACACTACCAAGAATTTCATTTCCACACCAAAGTTGAGGATCCTCAAGAAAATTACTAAACAGCAACAAACTTTAATAAAGATAAAACACCCATTCCTATTATGACACATAAACCTGCACGACAAAGGGGAACTGAGCCTTAGGGGTGGGTCCCAAGGCTGCCACTCTTATGGAAGCAGACTGCCACCACTTATTCCTGCTGAGCAGCAGGAGGATTCAAAGCACAGGCCAACTGTTAGCCTGACCACTACCCACCAGGGCTCCATTTAGAAAGGATACTAGTTCTTGACCTTTGATTGGTTTACATAGGTGGCCACTGTGCCTTAAGTAGGACCATAGAATGGAAGTCCAAAATTAGGTGCTCTGGTCCACGCTTGGCCCCTAACACATGGTGCCTTCCTTGGTCCCTGTGGGCTGGAACGGAATTTTCTTACTCGGGCAATTAAAAAGAATATTGGGTCAAAGGGTAATTGAAGGAGTGCTCAACTGAACAGCATCTGTGAATAAGGAACATAACTGCAGCCTTATGGGCAAAGGCAAACACTGAAGGTACTACAGACAAGGTCATAGGTCTGTGTGTGTATGAGGGATCGAAAGACGAACACTGAAGGTACCACAGACAAGGTCACAGGTCTGTGTGTGTATGAGGGATCGAAAGACGAACACTGAAGGTACCACAGACAAGGTCACAGGTCTGTGTGTGTATGAGGGATCAAGTGAGGGGGGCAGAGGAGGGTTAAAATATATACATGCAGCTGAACGATATGGGGCCACACAGGGCCCCGTGATCAAATCTGTGTCAACGGCACATTATCAAATGCACATGGAGGCATGTTAACATGAGGTTTTGCTTCCTGTCACTCAATTCTGGTCGAAATGAACTTGAATTCTGTTTTACTAAAGCACACTCGAGCCCTTGCTGAAGACACACAACTGTACCCTTACCATCAACTTAGGCAAAGAAAAGCCATTAAAGATGCCACAGAGACTGTCAAATTAATGGAGTCTATGATGTGCCTGTCTGCCACAGGCACCCAAGGGAGAACATCACATAACTGTGAAAGAAGGGTGGGTGGGTGAGGTCCTTTCTTGTTTGGAAGACCCAATGGCTCATGCAGAGGCAGTGTATCCCCTAAATGTCATCAAACACCCTGCATCAAGACTTTGGTTGTCAGGAGTGAGCTGAGAAGCCATTTATGTGAGTGCAGTACACAACAGGAAACCTGGAAAATAACCCTACTTACATCTTCTTCCACATCTTGGTTCACTAATCCACAATTCCTTACCTTGATGCGAGAGAAGACTTCCTGGTTAAGAGCCTGGTAGTCAATGTTATATGTCAACAAGGTTAGCTATGGTGTCTAGTTGTCTGGTAGTCTACTATACTACAGAATTGTTCTCAAAAAGCCTAACTCACTGTCCTCGAGTCGACTGGGACTCACAGTCATCGTATATGAGAAAGCAGACCTGCCCATGAGGGTTTCTGAGGCGGTAAATCTCTATGGGCGTAGAAAACCTAGTTTGGAAACATCCAGATAAAGTTTAAATTAAATCATTCTTTTTTGCTAAAAATTTTTTTTCAATAACAACAACAAATCTTCAAATGGAAAACAAAAAAGGCCAGGATAACCACATCAGTATGATTCACAAATTAAGAGTTTAAACTGTTTATCTTCGCTTTGAGCACTCTACTGTGTACCAATATGTCTCCACTGACATGGACTAGTAATGTTATCATGCAAAAGAGAAGTCACTTCCTGATAGAGGACTTTCTTTTTGTTTGAGAAAGATATCAGTAGGGATTCTCCACTAAAACATGGCATTTAAGAATGAATGGTGGTCTCTTGTTCTCTCATTTCTCCTTACTAATGCAATGCAACTCTTCTTTTTAGAATCTTTCTATTGATGCTGAATCGAAGAAGCACTGGTAACCCACCAGGGCTCCTCTGGAAAAGAACATAGTGCTTACTAGGTAGAGAACCAGTGAAGAAGAAGTTCATCAAGGAGAAGAATTTTCACAGAGCCGACAACAATGGGCTGAAAGAGAACCACCACCATATGCATGGCGCCAGACAAGGTGGTGCTTCATTCTGTGGCACACAGGCTCATTTGAAGCTGGAAAGAATGCAATTCCACTGAACATCAAAGGCAAGGAGGAGTTGTCGGTGAGTTGGATGTTCATAAACTAGGGGCTGCTTGTACACAGAACACTACATAGCCATAAATGCCAAAAATAGAAATGAAGTCCTGACACACACCAGACCACGATAAACCTTGACTACATCATGCTGCATAAAATAAATCAGTTGTAAAATGGCCAATATTGTATCATCTCACATGAAATAAGCAAATACATAGAAACCACAGATTATTAGTGGTTCTGGGGAAAATGAGGGGATGAGGAAGTGGGAGGATTTGCTTAGAGGGCACTGAGTTTCCTTGAAGGATGATGGAATGAGGTGGGAGAGGATAAAGGTCAAGGTTGAACAACTTGAAGAATACAATACGTGATGTTGACATGTACACACAGAAAAGGTTTAGGGAGCCTATGCTTTGTTTGTACATTTTCACAACACACAGTTAAAAAAACAAAACCATCTGGCTACTTGCTTTCTGAGAGCTCCAGGATTTTCTCCCCTCTCCAACTCTAATTAAGGGCTTTTTCCCTCTTTCTTGTCATTGTGTCTTTCCTGTTCAATCCTTAGTCCACCTCCAGCAGCTTCTCCTCAGTGTGAGCTAGGGCCTGACAGGAGTTCAGATGGCATCAGCTTCTCAAACCCAACTGCAGCCGTCTCCATCCAGTTTTCCCAGCGAGTGCCGGAGTTCTCTCTTCTTAGTTCTGTCTGACGCCCTTTGCTTTGTCCCAGCCAGGCACCGATGGGACTCAGACTGTGCCTGTCTATGGTTTTCCCATCTCCTTAAGATAACGTGAAAAAGATCTCCATCTTTTCTTTTCCCTTTCTGCCTGGGTTTTTAGGACTATCTATAGACAGGTTTGCTTATTAATGAAAAATGTTAAAGAAACTTCCATCTGAAACAAATCCTGAATTCCTTGCAGGTAAGTCATCGCCCATGGTCGTAGGCTCTCAGGAAATGCGACATAAATCTTGGCTTCCTTTACTGACAATAGAATATTAACCCTCCAGCTACCTGCCATTCCAGGAAGATCATGAAAGACTCTGGTAAAAAGTTCCAGAGTTCAGAAGTCCTGGGAGAACCTAAGCAGTGTTCCGAGTGTGGTTAAGGTAATTGTAGCAGGCATGGGCCCAATCTATTTTTAACCATTCAATTTGGAAGAAGCAATGACATTCAAAGAAAAAATTCCTATACACAGGAAATCTTTTCATAGATAGGTGACTGGCCAGTAAGCTTAATCTTCAGTATCATTTGAATTTAGAAGAACATATTACTATTTTGATGACTGGAAGAATTTTTGTGTTGCTGATGACATTTTTAATGAGAAATGTGTGATTTTAAGAAATCCAACAGCCACGGGTATTTCTTTATTCTCCATGCCATTGTTACCTCATTTACTGCAGAACGGTGGCTCTCATTGTTTCCTAAAGCAAATTGTAATCTAGCTCTCCTAATACTGCTCTGTCCCTTTACCCCAGTCAAACCACCTTTCCTCCTGCTGTGACAACGGTTTCTATTCTTACAGGTTTGCTCTCACGTGGGGAAAACCATAGCAGTCAAATATCAGTGATGGGATACTGTTAGAATCCACACACCATTTCCAATAAATTGAAGTTCGGAGGAACTACATTTCAATCATGTGATCCTAGGGCTCTAGGCCCACCAGTAAGCCGGCCTTTAGCAGTCTTAGATTTGGGATGGGAGCTTCCCCTACTAATAATAACTACCACCATTTAGTGAGCATCTACTGTGTGCCAAGCACATACTTGGACTTTTCTCTCTCTGCCTCTATCACCAGAACCAAACTTACTGTCATCGAGTTGATTCTGACTCATAACAATCCTACACTTTTATGCCATCTCAAATTCTAAAGAAAGGTAGGTATTACCATCTCCCTTTTACAGGTGACAAAACATGGCTCAGGAAGGTGAAGCAACCTTATCAAGAGCATGCAAAGTAATTCAGCATACTGGTCTCACCTCCCAACGCTACAGCGTTAGATTCTCTGTGGTTTAACTGCATAGTCCATGATCTTGGACAGATTATTTAACTCCCTGATCCTCAATTTCTTCATTTCTCGCAGGAGAAGTATATAACTGACACTTCAAAGGGCTGCTAGGTCAATAAAGGAAACAACCCAGCTGCACCCCAGCTAATTCTACAGAGTATGTGGGAGCAAAAAAAATCAACTCAGGAGATAATAGAACAATTGTTACTTTGTCTTGCTTCCTTGCAAATTTTACAGCCTTATGAACTCCCAGCCTATTGCTTTGCCTCAACAGTACTTAAATTAAAATTACTCAAATGCTTACCTCTTGGTTATTTTATGCATTGAGATGTCTATAAGTTTTTGTTGGTGGCAGTAGTATGTATTTTCTATTTGGTAGGCAAAGATGATGCACGAAAGAAGACAGAGATATTGAAATGTTTATCTTATGAATCTGTTATTTTGTGTCTCCACTGTTAGCCATCGATTACATCCAGCACCTATGATTTGCTTATGCTTGGGGCAATCAGAGCTCTGTATTTATGCTTCTATGTGAAAAAAAGCAGAACTTTATAAGGCCTCTGACTTTCAGTACAAAATGTTCCAGATTTTAATATTAATTCTTGTGACTTCCATCTAATGAAGCCCAAGTATATAGTCATTATTTTCTTATTGAAAGAAGGCATTTTCAATGGATACATTGCTAAACTAAAAAAAACAAACAAAAAACTCCTCACTGTCATTAGTCTATTCTGACTTAAGGAAGCCATACAGGACTGGGCAAAACTGCCCATATAGCTTTCAGAAACTGTAACTCTGAAGGAAAGTAGGAAGCCCAGTCTTCCTCTCAGATCCATTGCTTGGCATGTAAAAGTCTATCATGGGGTCTCCAGTATGCTCCCAACACCAAGGCTCGCGTTTACCACAGTGGCTGCAACAGGGTGCTCAAGGCCCGCAACTGTGCAGAGAATGCAGCAGTTTGGGGCGGTGCTTCTTTCTGTTGCACTTCAGTCACTATGGGTCAGGCCCTCCTCAGAGCACCTAACAACCACACAATTCTCACAAATAACCCTAAGTCCACACTGTAAGTAACAGGGCCCGAGCCCAGACCCATCATGACCTGACTTCAAAGACAGCTGCAAAGTTAGTGTAGACATATGAGAACCCCCCGAGAAAAATGGTCTCCGAAATGGAAGCTTCAAAATTTAAACCAAAAGCTTCCTGGTCTATTTTATCAAGGAACCAGGAGATGAGCCTTGTAAAAGAAGACAATTTGAGGCTTCCTCTGCTTTAGTAAATGGGCATACTTTTCAAGCTTTGAACTCCCAGAAGCCAAAGGGTGGAATCATACCTATTTCAACATATCGACTTGGCAAGTCTCTCATTTCACCGGCATGCCGTTCCTTCACTGAGCAGATCTGAAAGTGAATTTACAGTCATTTTAGTCATCGGTGAAAAATCCCCCAACACTTTCTCCAGTATATACTTTTGTTGACCATGTGACACTAAAGGTGGAGTCTGCACATTACATCATATGACAGAAATGAATTGGAATGGCATGCAGCATCATTAATTTTCAATAAAATCTGATTCCAGGACAAAGAATAAAAGGAAATGATAACATATTTTTAACAGGTTGCCTATGACCCATCCTCTTTAACGCTTAATATTTTAAGGGCTTCCATCATCATCCAGATAAAGGAGGGCAGAAGTACATAACCAACAATTCCCAATGGCATTCTGGGTAAGGTTCCCATTAAATCTCTGCTCCTAATTACCTACTAGAATTTATCTCACTTTTGCTAAAAATGTCTTTGCAAAACTGCTAGTTGTTTTTATTATTTTGAGTGTATTAAAAGTTATATATTACTCAAAAAAAAAAAAAGGAAACTAGAAAACCAACTGTTGCTTAGTTGACTCTGACCCACGGCAGCAACTCTAGAGGGCAGAGCTGGACTGCTCCAGAGGGCTGCTAGGGCTGTAACTTTCAAGGAAGCACACTGGTATCTACTTCCCCAAGGGAGCACCTGGTGGGTTCACACTGCAACTTATCAGCCATAGCTAGCATTTGACCATTGTACGGTCTCTACACCAGAAACCCAACTTTGAGCTGATGCCAACTCTTAGCCACCCTATAGGACAGAATAGATCTGCTTCTGTAGGTTTCTGACACTGTACCTCTTGACCAGAGTAGAAAGTCCCCTTGAGGAGCAGCTGGTGGTTTTGAACTGCTGACCTTATAGTTAGCAGCCCAATGTGTAACCACTACACAACCAGGACTTCTTCTGCACTATTTCAGGTGTTGGAACACTATAATCTGAGAGCCAAGTTGGGCCCCAGCTTATTTTATTACTTGCAATGAACTAAGAATGGTTTTTGACTTTCTAAAAGATTGTAATAAGGAAAGGAAAAAGAAGACAGGAAGAAAAAGAGGAACTTTTAGAGAAAATAGAGTATATGGTACATGATATAGGTATGTTTTGTTAGGCCTTTGACCCACCAACATTTTTCAATCACTCTTTTACAGATAAGTACCCAGAACAACTCTGGATAAAAACATCCACCACTCAGAACACATACACCCACAGCTCATAAACACATACATATCCTAACAATGGTGGCTTAAGGGTAATTAGCACATATCGGTAGTTTCTATTTTCTTTGTTGTACTTTTAAGCATGACCACAGCAGGGGGCTTCAAACAAGTTCTTAAAAATTCTATTATCTTTCAATTCAGTTTTTCTATTGTTTGAAGCCTCCACATATTCTATTTTACATATAAGGTCAGCAATCCAGGTAAACTAAAAGTAAACGTTACGTACTATTCTTACACAGCTTTCATTAGTGATTAGTGTTTTCTCTCTTCTTCTTTTAGAAAGTATTTATTATGTTCTTCTATAGAAGATACATGCATATGACTAGTTTTTTGTTGTTGCTCATAAATTTGCTCTGACTTAAAGGCTTTATGAACACAAGAAGTAAATGTTGCCTAATTGTGAGCCAGGTTCAATTACTGGTATGACTGAGTATACAAGAGGATGCTTAAAAAACAGAAACACAGAATAAGGGAAAAATCAACCATCCAAAGCCCCAAAAAGGAACTTCTTCGATGCTACTTTTTAAATGAACAGGTAATTACAAATTTATTATTTCAATATTCTTCTACAATATAAATCTTTGATGTCTTTATAGTATTTTTTACACAAATTCAATGGGGTACCTCAAATCAACCGGAAATTTTTTCAAAGCTAAGTATTTAAATTTTTTTTACAAAACAACCTCATCACCTTCTATGTATTCTTCATTACGCTTAATACATTTGTCAAATCTGCTATTTAATTCTGGGAAACATTTTTCAAGCTCATCTGTTTAGATAGCTGAAAGCACCTCACTCGTTTTTCTCTTCACCTCTTCTCTGTCATCAAATCCCTGTCCTGTCATGTCCCTCTGCATTTGTGGAAACAAACAGAAGTTTCACAGAGCGATGGCAGGTGTGTAAGGTGCATAGGGCAAGAGAGGCATGCTGTTTTTTTGCCAAAAACTGGTGCACTGAGATGGCAGCATGGGCAGGTGCATTATCGTGGTGGCAAAACCAGTCCCCCAACTGCCACAAATCAGGCCTTTTTGGTCGCACACTATTACAGAATCTTTTTTTTTAATCGTTTTATTAGGAGCTCATACAACTCTTATCACAATCCATACATACCTCAATTGTTTAAAGCACATTTGTATATTCATTACCCTCATCATTCTTAAAACACGTGTGCTCCACCTAAGTCCCTGGCATCAGCTCCTCATTCTCCCCCTCCCTCCCAGCTCCCCCCTCCCCTCATGAACTCTTGATAATTTATAAATT